AAGGGACATAGACAGCGATGAAGGGAGTAGGGAATGCTGAGTGGGGGAAGGGTCTTACCAGAATAAAGAAGAAATCCAGGCTTCCACTAGACCTCTGCTGATGGTGGTGTAGACAGATGTGCAGAGGAAATATTGTATTCTGCAAAGGGGTGGCCCCATCTGGTATGAGGGGTCCTTCTTGATGCTTGCAGACAATGGCCTGCAGAGAGGGCTCTTACTCTAAACGCTGACTCTCTCTTGGACTTGGCCATCCATTTATAGTTTGAAAAAATTGGATCAGATTATATCCCAGAGACTTTGTTTTTCCCTGAGAAAATGTCACAGGATTTAATATGTTATGAAAGAGGGTACTTAAATTTTATTCTTGCTAACAGATTGCTTTTAAATTTTATATATATATAAATTTTATGCATATATACATATACAAATATTAATTTTATATATATATAATTTTATGCATATATACATATACAAATATTAATTTTATACCTATATCTATATCTATCTATATATATGCTATAGCAAATTAATATTTACCACACGATTATTTGTATATACTGGTGTTTCCAAATCCTGATCCTGGTTATTTCTTCTATAACTGGAACATTACCCAATGTCATTAATTCCTCTAAGTACTGTAATTAGGGGAAATCATCATCTTTTCTGCTTGCTCTATTAATTTTGATTCCTCAAGTATCCGTTCCCGTGTTGGTTGAGTTGCTCCCCAGTGCTGGCTATGGAGGGGACTTACTTTCCCAGGTGAGACTTCCACTGGACTGCCCGTAGTACAGTTCGCACAGGCTGCTCACGGGTGAGACCCAGCAGCAGGTGCTGCAGCTTTTGTATGATGTGTTTTCCAGGAGAGTGGCTGAGGGGTGGGAGAGGCAGTAAAGCAGCGGACACAGTAGGTTAGCACTGCATCTTCTGGGTGTGAGTACCCCCTTTCTGCCGGCATGGAGCCAACCGCCTTGCACATTGCCCCGCCACTTCAGCTCAGATTCCTAAACCCTGTTCTTTTGCCTGGCAGTGTCTGTCTCCATGGCTGGTGCCGGATGCAGGTCAGCAATGCACAAGAGAAATTTTCCCTGGCTGCCTCTGTAGGGGGATCAAACTAATGACAGCTTTGGCTGCCGCTGTCTCCCCTCCTGTCTTTGCTGCAGTTTCTCTCCACCAACCTTTGCTTACAGATGTAATACTTTGGCACCTATTTTAAGCTATGGATCTCTTCCTCGTATTAATTTTGTCTGTTTTCTAGGTATGAAGGATTATGCATAGTTTAGGGGACTCTAACTTCTCCCTTTCTTGCTTTCCAATGCAACTCGGTGTTTCTGAATTCTTTTTTTCTTATTTTTTAAATTTGGGTTTGGGTAGGCAGGCTTAACATGTGCTTGTTTAATATTTGAATACAACTGGAGATTGTTTTTCAAGAAAAAAGGTCAGCACTTTTGTGAAGCTAAGAGAAGGGAAAGGTTTTCTATACCATGAGAAATCCCGTAAGTAATGTGCACAATTTGAGCTGTTCTTCATACAGATTTGGAGGGATGGTTATCACAACCAGTTAAAAGCAGCATTTTGTAGACATCAGCCACGAATAGCCTCTACCAACGTTCTTTGTAGTATAATTTAGCAGTGTTTTACTTTTTCATAAACACGTATTAACCAAGTGAGGGATAGATAAGAAAGAAGACATTTGTGATCATTGCCAGCCACTATTATGTAAGTTGCTGGGGCCACGTTGGATAAAAGAAAATTACAGCCTTTATTTTTTTTTTTATTCTTATGTTAATCCCCATACATTACATCATTAGTTCTAGATGAAGTGTTCCATGATTCATTGTTTGTGCATAACACCCAGTGCTCCATGCAGAACGTGCCCTCCTCAATACCCACCACCAGGCCAACCCATCCTCCCACCCCCCTCCCCTCTAGAACCCTCAGTTTGTTTTTCAGAGTCCATCGTCTCTCATGGTTCGTCCACCCCTCCGATTTCCCCCGCTTCATTCTTCCCCTCCCGCTACCTTCTTCTTCTTCTTTTTTTTTTCTTAACATATATTGCATTATTTGTTTCAGAGGTACAGATCTGAGATTCAACAGTCTTGCACAATTCACAGCGCTTAACAGAGCACATACCCTCCCCAGTGTCTATCACCCAGTCACCCCATCCCTCCCACCCCACCCCCCACTCCAACAACACTCAGTTTGTTTCCTGCGATTAAGAATTCCTCATATCAATGAGATCATATGATACATGTCTTTCTCTGTTTGACTTATTTCACTCAACATAATACCCTCCAGTTCCATCCACGTCGTTGCAAATGGCAAGATCTCATTCCTTTTGATTACAGCCTTTATTTTAAGTAGTTATTTTTAAAATGAAAGTAATATAGTAGGAAAATATTAAATTATAGATTCAACCCTCTGTTTCTTGACCAGTATGGAGAGGTGATGAAAAACAATTAGTTTGCTCACCTGCCTGAAGCATCAGATATCATACTAATCTGAGGAAATGACTTTATTGCATAAAAAAGCCACAGGGGGAGTATGCCTGTGACCACTCTAGGAACAACAACAACAACAAAGTAAGTCAGAGAAGCAAATGTTTTTAAGAAGCAGTCATAGGGAATAGATTTATTAAAAAGTAGTCATTTTTTAATAAAAAGTATATAAAAAGTCTTTCTCTAATGTTTACCCACTTATTTGCAGTGTTCTTAGAACTCCAGACCATTTATATCTAGACCTCATATCCCAGAGAAGGTAAAAATATTAGGTTGAAGAAGTCAACCATAGAGGTGTGTATTACAGAGGTCAGAACCAAGAGAAAAGGCTCTAAGTGGGAAGAGCAGGAAGAGAAGAAAGAAGAGAAAAAAAAGTCTTGAGCACATATTTTGTGACATGGCACTTACATACAGTTTCTCATATAATTCACATAGCAGCTCTGAATAGCAGTTACAACTGTGATGATTTTGTCTTTCTAGCAATAGCTCTCATTTGGCAGACCACCTTTTAATGTTGATGACAGCTTTTGCTATACGAAGAGAAGGTATAGGGATTTTGAAAAATTCTATGACAGCAAGAAAATTTGTTTATTGTAAAAGCTATCTACATTTTGAGCTGGTTGGCTTAGCGAAAAAAAAAATTTTTTCTGTGGGAGAATGTCTCTTTTGACTCGGAAAAATATTAATGGTTCTATTGATTTTACAAAGGCATGGTTGTAAGAACAAAGTGTACATAGGAAACGTTTAAGCAAAAATAAGAGTCAAAATAATTTGCAAAATACCGTTGCATGAGTTTTGGAAGTGGTGTTGTAAGGAAAAAGAAGAAGGGAAAAAGAGAAATGTCTCAGAAATATGAAGGGGGGCCAGGGCTTATGAAACTCTATATTGAATTGAGAGCCTTACTTTATAGAATGATGTTATCTAATATTAAATTCTCTCATTTCATGTATTTTCTATAATTACTCTCCAGGGCATATTCTAGCTGGATGCTTATCGATCTTTTTCTTTCTTCCTGGGAACACATGATAACCACATTGTCCAACCTTCCTTGGACTTAAGATGAGGCATGTCACAGGTTGTTTAATGTGGTTGGGAATCAAATATACCTCTTCTTATCCTGGCTATTAAGTGTTTAATGTCACCTTCCATACTTTGCTTTTTGGAACAGCAAAGGATTCTCTGAATGATGTGGTGGATGATGTGGACAGTGCTCCAGAGGGCAATGGAGTAGTGATGTAAATGGAACCTGGCTCTCAGAGCTACTTTTTTTTGGTGGAGAGACACTCAGAAGAGTCACCCAACTCATAACTGGGAAGCGAACTGAGGCTTATTGTGTAAAATCACTGAGATTTGGAGGTTGTTCACAACAGCTAGACTTAGCATTATGACTCTGAGTTTTAACACATTTGCCATTACTCCAAGTCTTCGGTAAAGTATGTTTTATACAAAATTCTTATTTTAGTGGTACTTAGGGGAGTAGCAAAGAAGTCAGTAACCTGGGAATTCTATGCGGTTACCATCAGGAAAGAAAGCAGAAGTCTAAGTTGGTACACAAAATGATAACTAGAAACCAGTTAGCAAGAAAGAAGCGTGTGCGCACATGCACACACACACACACACACACACGGCAACCAAAACTCTGGGGCCTGTAAAGACACAGAAAAGGAAAACCACCTCTTTTTCTGAATTGCATTGACAGAAGATAATCCTTAAAGGATAATAGTGCGTGGTGGTAGGGAAGGATATTTATTCCTGCTTTTACATGAGATGAGAACTCAATCCATTTTACGTAAGTTTTAAATCAAAATGTGACCTAGAAATTCCAAAGGCTTGCTGACCCTTAGGTGGGTAGAAGCTCCACAATTGTTCTTCTATGCTTCTGGGAGCCTCATGGAAAGTGGGTTACGTGATGAAACAACTTGTCTTATTTCAGTCTGTATAAAGTATTCATTCCAACATGCCACAATCCATTTGACTCAGAAATTTTACTAAGATGGCAGAATCTGAAGTTTCTTTAAGGCTTATCTTTTGTACAAGGCATGTGGGATGCCACCAGCTTCATGCTTATATGATCTTATAATCAGGAGACCAGCTATTCTGGACCATAGTAATATACCAGGGAATGGTAGATGTTCAGTATCTTGGCAGAAGGAATTTGACTCAGCATCAGAAATCTAGCATGGCCCAGAAGATATGGTACAAATATACTGCTAACTCCTCCAGGAGAAAGCACAGGCCTTTTGATGTTTCTCCTTTTGTAATAAAGAAAATAAGCTCTGTTAGATGAAGAAAATTCTGGAAAATTCTATCCAAAAAAGAAAACAAAAATCACATTTCTAATGGTAGCTTCAGTAGAAGTCACCACCTGATTAAGCTTGTGATGATTCGCTGTCATTTTCTTTTTTTTTTTTTTCCATTGATAAAACCTCTTTCTGTGTTTAATGGATTATTTTTCATTTGGTGTTGTTACAATTTAAAGTGTTTTTTTTTTTTTCCAAAAAAATGAACTACAGAGATTTTTTTATTTAAAAAATGCAATAGCCATAGTATCATGTATCAACGACAGGAGTTTCATTAGCAAAACAATTAATAAGAGAGCATATCTGTTGCAAAAATTAAAGACAGATTTTCATGGCAGGAAATTAGTGCCAAGTCAGTGACTCCTGAAGTCATCAGAGTATGGCCAGCAGCTCAGGGATGCTATGTTTTCTCTCGCTAAAGGCACGTTTCTTGGGCAGTTTAACGTTTTTTTTTTGCCCCTTAGAATTTATTGCTGTCAAAGCTATCATAATATTTTACTCAGAATTCTTAAGAGAAAATCTTCACAAAATTAACAATACAGATCTTCAAGTAATTAGGACCATTCAGAGGCACCTGAAAAGAATACCATGTATGGATTAGTTGTTTTTTTCTTTTATTCTTTGAATTAAATTCAGTGAAAATTTTAAGGGGGAAAAAAAAGTCAGTTATCTATTCATTCCCTCATGTTTTAATTAAATAATTTTAGCAATTACGTAGAAAAACACATTTTACATGTTGCTGTAAAGTACTTTTCTGGAACTGGTCGCTGATTTAAGACATCGGAAGATCATGATAGGCCGCATATCTTCCAGTAACGTGGTGGTAAATTTGCCTCTCGATGTCCGAAAGCAGAGTACTGCCACCTATTCGAAACAGTTCTGGTGTCAGCCATTCATCTCCCAGCTCTTCCTTCACGAGAGAGAGCCAAGCAAGGGAATCCTTGGCATTGCGGATGCCTCCTGCTGGTTTAAAGCCTACCTTGTTTCCAGTTTTCCAGAAGAAATCTCTAATGGCCCGTAGCATTACTATAGCTACCGGGAAAGTGGCATTTACTCTTTCTTTTCCAGTAGAGGTCTTAATAAAATCTGATCCTGCCATCATTGCTATCATACTGGCTTTATAGACATTAGTAAGAGATCCAAGTTCTCCTGTTGCTAAGATGGTTTTGAGATGAGCCTCCCCACAGGCCTTGCGAAACTGACGAATCTCATCATACAGGGCTTCCCACTGGCCAGTCAGCACCAAGGTCCTGTTAATCACCACATCGATTTCCGTAGCTCCATCTTCCACAGCCAATCTGATCTCTTCCAATCGTGTTTTTAAATGAGTCTGTCCAGCTGGAAAGCCAGTGGCCACGGAAGCCACTGGGATGGTACAGCCCGAGGCCTTCAGCGCTTTAACCGCATCACACACCCGCGCGCGGTAGACACAAACAGCAGCAGTCGTAAGGCCTTTATCATGCATATTTAAACTTTTTAAGAGATCTTCCCGGATTGGATACTTGGCTTTATAACAGAGCCTTTGAATGTTGGAAGATGTGTCATCGCCTAAAGTGTAGTAAGATCTATAAAGGTAACGGCTTTCAGGAGCCAAGCAGCTTGCCACTCCTTTTTCACGGTTCTGCGAGCCTGGATTTGTTCTGCACGCCTCAGAACTGCTGGTTGATTCACTTGTATTTTGGAGATCCAGCTAAGGTCCAGCTCCGTGCCCCGGTTGCGCGCGGACATGGTGGGGCAGCTGCAGCAGTCGCCGGCTCCTCAACGCCGAGCTCCCCTCCGCCCCGCCCCTCGCTGTCATTTTCTAAATTCATTTGTCTTTGGTGCAAGTCAAGCCAAAGTTTTTTGTTTTTTGTTTTAAGCCAAGGTTTTAAATAAAATGTGATAGGAATCAGCACTACTATTTATTTCAAGTCTTCAAGGGTGACATGAACTTTAATCGTCTTACCAAGGTTACTGCATTGTTTTTTTTAATTTCTATTGTTATGTTAATCACCATACATTACATTATCTGTTTTCGATGCAGTGTTCCACGATTCATCATTTGTGCATAACACCCAGTGCTCCATGCAGAGTGTGCCCCCCCAACACCCATCACCAGGCTAACCCATCCTCCCACACCCCTCCCTTCTAGAACCCTCAGTTTGTTCCTCAGAGTCCATCGTCTCTCATGGTTTGTCTCCCCCTCCGATTTCTGCACCCTTCATTCTTCCCCTCCTGCTATCTTCTTTTTTTTTTCTTAACATATATTGCATTATTTGTTTCAGAGGTACAGATCTGTGATTCAACAGT